AAAAAAAAAAAAAAAAAGACCACCAAAAAGGGGCTTAATACGAGGCTGAGCATGATTATATAATACAAAATCTAAAGATGGACTTTTATAATGTGAAAAATATGGTTTCATGTTATTTAAAATTCACAGATGTAAATATTAAGGAATCATCAAGTAATTTATTGAATTAGCTTTTGCATTTTTGTTTACACGAACTACAGTTACCTTTATTATTAATTGAGGAAGTACAATGTGCAAACGAGTAAATATGTCGTGTGGCCTGTGGGTAATTCATAGAACCTAAATTAATTGCACTAGTGGTCTAATGAACCATTTTTGGAGAAAACAAAAGAAAAAATGACTTCATTCTTATCTATATAGGATTGTAAACTCGATATGTCACGGAGTTTTGTTGTAAGACAGCTTATGTTAAGGATGACAATGGAATGGGACAATGATTAAAAAGTTTCCATTTCTGCATTTTTTTTATTAATTTATTTAATTTATAAATATAATTTAAATTTAAAAACGCTAAATATATTAAATAAGCAAAAAAAAAAAAAAAACCTTCTTCGGTGGGACCGCAATTTAAAAAGAAAAAAACGCAAACATTTGACAAACAACTCAAAAACTTCAATTTTGTCAAGGAAAACGAGGCCCTGTTTGATAGAAGATTTAATGTAGCGGCAAGTGTACATAGCTCAAGACGAAACTTCTGTTTCCCTTTTTTCACTGCATATTTCTCATCTGAAACACACACACACACACACATATAAATAATACTATAATACTTACCTTCTACATTTTTATGTCGGATAATATATACATACGAACGCCAACCTAAATCTAGTTTGGGAGTCGATTCTTTCTATTTCAACCTTTTGATCCTACAAATAGGTCGTAACAACTGGCAGAGCTAGATATTTTTTATTGGGTGATAAAAAAGTGAGTTATAAATTGATTTTGAAATAGCGTAATAGTAACGGTGGGTTAAAACTTGAGATGGGAACATAGGTGTGGTCTGGTGGCTAAATATTTGTTACTATTGTCAATTAAATGAGCAATAGCGTAAGTTAGATTTTGATGAAACTGATAAACCTTAGATACCGAAGAGGAATGAGAAATTAATTGGTGATTTCAAATTTAGGTCATTTATGGAAAATTTGCCACGTATTGCACAAGAGAAGGAATGAATAAAAGTTTAAATTTTGAAGAAAAGTGAAAAACAAAAAATTCAGAATTCCAAAATGAACTGTGCTACAGTCACATCAATTTTGACAGCAAATTTCACAGTCTCCTCACATGAGAGGTGGCCCCACACGGAATAAAAAATTCACGGACCCCACATTTGTGAGGGGGCGGTAACATTTGCTGTCAAAGGAATGCTCTACAAACAACATTTTTCTTCCAAAATTTTGTGGGGTCAATGGACCCTACATGAGACCATGTGGGTCCGCCTTTGGTTGTAACTATTTGGTGCATTGAAGTACTAGGTTGATAAATAGTAATTAGTAGGTACGATCAAAGAAGAAAATAAAGCAATAAAGAATTTGTTGATTAAGGAGGTGGATGAAATGAAATTTGATTTTTCAGGACATAGAAAATTTATGATATTCGAGAAATTTGTTTTCTTGATTTCTGTTATCATCTTATAACTAGAAATAGAATCATGTGATCCTTCGTCTAAAGTTAAGAAGATCTTCTTTCGTTTAGATTTGTATCTTTAACTGTATGTACGACCCAAAACTTGAAAAGTTAAAGACCATAACGTGAGGCTCCTGTTGTAATGGCTGCATTTGAAGCAAGTTTTGTGAAGGAACCACATCTACAGACATAGTTTCAGCAAAATGAACAGTTTTATCATAAGCTTTGTATTTTTGTACAGTGTCATGGAATGCCATTTTTTCTTTGTTCAATTTCCAAAGAAAAATTAGATTTTGAAGTGTTCCATATGGGGTTTTAAGCTCGACTTTGATAGATAGAGGTTAAAAGATCGAAAGTGAGCCGCGTGAACAAGTGGGGTAGGTGAGTTCTGCCTACTACTAAGGGCAATGCAATGGAAGACCTAATTTTGTTGAAACAAATGGATATAAATAGATGTCCTGATTTTGATGAGGATAGAAATCGATACACTTAGGCTAATGAGAATTCTATACATGGATTAAATGGTATCTTATATGATGATGGAATCGAATCAGATCAAAATTGATCGATTTTGATTCAATTCAATTCTTTTATTCTTCAAAATAATATAATGAAGTCTAAACTTTTTGTCTACATTTTCTTGTTTTATTTTCATGCCTTTTGTTTCGAGACAAAGGCATTTATTATTGTGTGTATAGATACTTAATAATGATTGACTTAGCCCCTGGGAGGGCTTTTCATCTCTCCAAAATTGATTATTGTGTCGTTGCTTTTTGACCGTTTCTCACAGAAAAGGCAGTCGCAATTGCTGAATTGTTACCGTTGCTGGCTTCAACGGACAGAAAAGCAATTTTCAGTTAAAATTTAATCGCGACCAGACAAGTACTTAATATCGAGATTAGAAAAGAAAATCAATTAAAATTCAATTCATATGAATCGAACCAACTAGCTTAATGCAATAGTTGTTCGGTTTCAATAATTCGAAAAATTTAACCCACGTTTAATTTTAAACGTTTATACAAAATATAACATTTTATTTTCAGTACTTTTGTAATAAGCATTAATTTGGACCGACTTATCCACCACTTATTTTTATCAATTTATAATTTATACATTTTTATAAACACTTCCTAAGCATATTCTAAACTAGTATCACAATAATTTCTCTTGAATTCTTCTATAAAACAACATTTGTTTACTTGTAAATGAAAAAAAAAAAATTAAAATTAAAATTAAATAAAATCAAACTTTATCACGTGCCAATCACGCGTTCATATCCCAGAGAGATAAATTGATAAAATGGAATCCCCACCTTCAATCCATAGCTCTTTGTTTCACAACTTCAAGCACCGAGACACAGGAATTTAATAAATTTCATAGAATTAAGGCGAACCCAGAAATTATCTCAATCTTTATTGATCCTATCTAATATCGAATTTGTACAGATTTTTGAATTCCTCTCACATGAGGAGGTGTGGCCCACATGAATTAAATATTGTTAAAAACAATGGGACCCATGTGTTGTGTGTATTTGGTACAAATTCTGTAAAAAAAATTCTGTACCCATAGAGTGATTGAAGATTGAAAGTGAGCCGCGTGAACAAGTGGGGTAGGTGAGTTCTGCCTACTACTAAGGGCAATGCAATGGAAGACCTAATTTTGTTGAAACAAATGGATATAAATAGATGTCCTAATAAATAGTGGTACCATGGTACGGTTTGATCCGATTTTGATGAGGATAGAAATTGATACACTTAGGCTAATGAGAATTCTATACATGGATTAAATGGTTTCTTATATGATGATGGAATTGAATCAGATCAAAATCGACCGATTTCAATTCAATTCTATTCTTTTATTCTTCAAAATAATATAATGAAGTCTAAACTTTTTGTCTACATTTTCTTGTTTTATTTTCATGCCTTTTGTTTCGAGACAAAGGCATTTATTATTTTGTGTCTAGATATTTAATAATGATTGACTTCGAGATTAGAAAAGAAAATCAATTAAAATTCAATTCATATGAATCGAACCAACTAGCTTAATGCAATAGTTGTTTGGTTTCAATAATTCGAAAAATTTAACCCACGTTTAATTTTAAACGTTTATACAAAATATAACATTTTATTTTCAGTACTTTTGTAATAAGCATTAATTTGGACTGACTTATCCACCACTTATTTTTATCAATTTATAATTTATACTTTTTTATAAACACTTCCTAAGCATATTCTAAACTAGTATGACAATAATTTCTCTTGAATTCTTCTATAAAACAACATTTGTCTACTTGTAAATGAACAAAAAAAAAAAAAAAAAAAAAAAAAAAATAAAATCAAACTTTATCACGTGCCAATCACGCGTTCATATCCCAGAGAGATAAATTGATAAAATGGAATCCCCACCTTCAATCCATAGCTCTTTGTTCACAACTTCAAGCACTGAGACACAGGAATTTAATAAATTTCATAGAATTAAGGCGAACCCAGAAATTATTTCAATCTTTATTGATCCTATCTAATGAATTTCGTTTAATTTATCGAAAAAAATGGATAGTTTCACTCTTAGTACAGCCACCACTCCCAACAAATTCTCCCCAATTCGATTCTTCTCACATTCCTTTTTTCATATCAAGAAATCACCAATTCTGTCTTTTAACACTAGGCAACCCAGAAAACTTCTTGTGTTTGCATCAAAAGATGAGTCGAAGTTTGTCGTATGGGACCAAATGGAGCTCAAGTTTGGTAGAATGCTTGGTGAAGACCCTAAAATCACCTATGCTAAGGTCCCCTCTTTTTGCCCTTTTAGAATTCAAACACACGTATTAACAGTGTTTATATGTTTTTTTTTTTTGTAATTTTATTTGCTTTCAGGTTGTGTTTGCGGCACCAGATTAGATCAGAAAAGAAATATAGTGTAAAATTCTGATGATAGTCTATTAACATGAATAGCGTTCTTTGATTATTCATTCTTGAATGAAAAATTAAAGAACACTAGCCTCCTGAATGTACTACAATACGATATACCATATTACTAAAATTTCTTAAGATGATATACCGTATTATCTATTATAATTTTATACTATATTTCTTAAGGTCTAAGCCAGTGCGCCAAACACAATCTCAGTGTGTTGGCGGGGACGTAATTGATTATTTTATATGAATGAAGAAGAAAGGAAATGGAATTCAGGGAACATCTGGAACTATGAAAAATGTTAGAATCTTTGCACTTCAACATTTATGGTGCTAGATTTTGTCTAGTGCTGCTAATTTATTTCCAATGATGGAAACATAGATATAATTTTGCTTATGTTGATACTAAATAAGAATCTGCTAAGGTTTCCTTTTAATTATTTGTGAATAAATTGATTATAATGTGATAGTAGTCCGATATTGCGGCTTTGAGCTATGTTGTGGCAAATGTATCACTATTGTATATTTCTATCTATAATTACTTCATTATAGATAGGACATGCCTAATATCATAATAATTGAAAACACTGAAAAGGATTGGGCTTGGTATGTTGATTTCTTTGAGTTTTTAAGCAAAGATTTTTTAGATAATTTGCTATTATTCTGTTCTGTTTCTAATCAATGTTTTTCTTAAGATCATTACAATATTCATTGCAGTTCTTCTGAATTTTTAGATAATGGGTCGGAAGTCAAACCCTGATATGACTTACTTGGAAATTGAGAAGCTACTACAGAAGAAGGGGGGTAAAGCAGTGAACAATGAAATAGAGGAGATCCCATTTGATGTCTCTGTGGATAAAAAATCGACAAAGTCAGTGGATGGGTTAAATTTGGTTCGACCTGTGCCGAGGAAAGGGATAGAATTTGAGGCTAATCGTAAACAAGTAGAAACAGATGATAAGAAATCTAACCCACCAGTTACAAAAGCCATGGAGAAAACCCAAAGCAGTGTTCCCAATGTTATCTTGCGAAAGCCCAGTTCGTTTAATGAGGACGATGTGGGGGGTGAAAGATCTTCTAGGTTTGGGATGAAACCAAACTTATCACTGAAAATGCGTAAAGAACCGCAAAAGGACAGGTTTAGCGATATCACACTGTTGAAGAAGCCTGAACCAATGAGTTCTGCAATAGTCAATGAAATTGGAGATAAGAGTGTGCAAAACGATTTTCCATCTACAGGAAAAGTTGATGATATCACACTTGTGAAAAAGCCAGAGCCAATGAATCTCAATGTGAATAATGAGCGAGAACAAGAACGAGAACCAGAATTATCTAGGGATCATACTGAGTTTAGATCCATTAATGATTTGACAGAGAACAGTTTAGATGTTCCGTACTCATCAGGTGAATTGGTGAACAAGATGGATGGCAATCTCAATCAATATACGGAAACTAGGAAAAGAGATTCAGAAGTGGATAATATGTCTGCGACAGGTAATTGTCATTCTGTGGATAGGATTTTCTTGTTTTAGCATTAGAGAAATTGAAATGTGATTACGGATTACTAAGTTAAGGTTCATTTTTATAAAACCCGTTGGTTCTTTTTTCAAGAATTGCAGGCTGATACTCAAACTAGAGAGAAAACATTTGCTTCTAGTGGACCTTCTGAGACAATGGCAGCTGAAACTACTCCTAAAATACCTATGGATACTTTGCTGATTGGAAAACCAAAAATGTATCTTTGGTCTCTCTCTATCTCCTTTTTTTCTTGCTGCTACATAATGATTTTTAAATTTCATTAAAATGTTGTGTAATAGATTAGATCGCTCTGTTAAGTCAACAGAACAACATAGTAGCGAGGTCCTGATTCCCACGAATTCTGAAGGCTATGGCAATCCCTCGGAGCTTGAGAAATTCCTCACAACTTCACTGATTAAGGTTGGCAATTTATGTTTGAGTACATTAGTTAGCTGGGATTTTTTTTTTTTTAAATTTTTTCCCCCGTGGAATGTGATTGTTGTATATTCATCTAGGACCATGAAGATAATGACTGGGCAAGGGCTGAAGAGCTGGTTAAGACAGGAGAAAGAGCAGAAGTGGAATTAATTAGCTCCAGCACGAGAGGATTTGTTGTGAGTTAACAGATATTCATATAGTGAGCGTTGCTTGTTTATTATTTATTTCTGTTCACCGTTTTTATTTTCCTCCTCTCTGTACAGGTATCATTTGGTTCCTTGATAGGATTTCTACCATACCGTAATCTTGCTGCCAGGTGGAAGTTCTTAGCTTTTGAATCCTGGCTGAGAAGGAAGGGTTTAGACCCGTCCATGTACAGGCAAAATTTGGGCATCATTGGAAAATATGTACCTACTAGCACAACAGCTTCTGTGGAATCAATGCTAGATTCTAAAGCTGAATATAAGGCTGAGGGGCAGGTATCATCAGATATGAAACTGGAGGATCTTCTCATGATTTACGACCAAGAGAAACTCAAGTTCCTATCATCATTTGTTGGCCAGGTTTGGATGACAATGTTTGGAGTCGAAACCCTTGTCTTTAAAGTTGAATTCTTATTCACCAAATACCTACTGGACTTGCAGAAAATCAAAGTGGGTGCCGTATTGGCTGACAGAAAATCCCGCAGACTGATATTTTCCATAAAATCAAAAGAAAAGGAAGAATTGGTTGAAAAGAAGAGAAGTCTCATGGTAAGAAAGTAACACATAATTTAATTTGTCCAGTCGAAGTGAGTTTTAAGTTGGTCCTTTGTAAGGTTTTCTTTTCCCCTGTTTCCAAAATCTTGCTTCAATTATTTGTTCACAGGTAAGATCGTTATTTATGAAAATAATGTGTACTGAAAACAAAATGATAACTTCTGTGAAAAATGTAATTGTCACTTCAACTCAATCTCCTGGTCACATTCTCCTATCAGTCCCTTTGTGAACAAAGCTTAATGAATCTCCTGTTTATTTAAATTGTCACCAGGAATGTATGTAGTTCTTATTATGACTCCTTTTCAATCTTATCACATCTCTGCTAATATAAATAAACATTTTAGAGGTAGGACTGATAAAAAACATGATGCAACTGATCCAACAAAAGACCGAAGTTTCATAGGATCACAATTCAACTGGAATATAATCGGTAAACATGTATAATGCATTGACACGAACATGTCGGACATGGTGACACGATTTTTAAAAAAAATACTGGCATGATACATCGTCAACATGTTGATTAAGTTCTTTAAAATTCTTCATTTATATAGTATAAACTTAGTTTTATACTTTTTATTAATTTTTTCTTGTTGAAATATTTTAAATATGAGTACCTATTTGTTATTTAATAATAACTTGAATTAAAAAATATATAATATTTCTTATAGAGAAAGAAAAATGACCACAGTCGAGTTATGAGGAGAGTTGGCGGTTTGGTCTACCTCTATTTCTTCTAACATGTTTTACAGCGACTGTGGTGGCATTTTGAATGAAGCTTCTTTATGCTTAGTCAAGATATGTCTCAATCATTTTATTCATCCTTTTCTTAATTTGTCTTCATATAGTTCCTCCTCTACCGGTTTGGTATATATCCTTATTTCATATTTTATCCATTTTCTTATAGCTACATTCCTCAAAATAGTTATTCTATTACATAAACCTAAGCAAGCTTTCGTTCTTTAGTGTCCCAACATTCATCTCTGTACTATAGCTGTTTTAATGACCATTTTTAGAAATTTTGTGGGACTTTTTTATCATAGCACTTTTTCATTGTACTGAACTTGCTCTGGTACACAATAATACACCACAAAACCAGAAAACAATCCGAAACTGCCATTTGTACTCCTGGTAGCCAAATTTATTGCAAGCTATGAATCCCGTATTTCACATATAACTAATGTTCTATTTCTATTTCCCTTCTTTAATGCTTAAAATACTTCTGATTTTGTAGATCTCGATTTTGTTTTATATGTTTTCCATTTTTACATATGAAAATTTATCCAGATATAGCATTTTGCCACAATAGTGAACTTGGTATTAACTTGCCACTTTGATGGTGAATCATCTGTCAATATTTGCAATCTTGAATTAGTATTCGATTTGGAATGATTTGCCTTCTAGTAAATCTGGTTCAATAACCCTGCCCTAGCTGTCTTTGTTGTGCAACACAAACACATGCAGAAGTATTTAATATAAAAGAAGTGTTTGCTGGACAAGATGGCATTTTATCATTGAGTATGCCTCAAGATCTCTCACATTCATATATGAATCCCATCATATGAGGACGCTCTACCTCTCATGCACTAACGTTTCAGGTCTTGAGCTTTTATGCTGTTCTTATTGCAGGCAAACTTGAGTGTTGGAGATGTAGTGAAGTGTTGCATTAAAAAGATCACTTACTTTGGCATATTTGTTGAGGTAAATAAATGGTTCGTTAGCCTTCCCACTCATAATATGGTTACTTCTCGAGTGTTCAGATATTATGCCGCCACCTTTGCCTAAATGATTTATTTGTGATTAATATGTTTACTTCTGTATGTGTTGCAGTATTTTCTTCACTTGGTAAATGCTATTTGTAATGGGGAATAATGAATTCCATATACAGGCTAATCAGATATGAACAAAATACCTTTGTAGGTTGAAGGCGTACCTGCACTCATTCATCAGACAGAAGTATCATGGGATACCACCTTGGACCCTGAATCATATTTTAAAGTTGGTCAGGTGCTTCATATCTCTAGAACCTCAACTGTGCATTCCTTCAGTAAAGCTGATATTTTTAATGCTAGTAAATTCACCTGATCAAGTCTTTTTGCTTGCAGATTGTTGAAGCAAAAGTTCATCAATTGGATTTTTCACTTGAACGTATATTTTTATCGTTAAAGGAAATAATGGTAATCTTCATCCATTTTCTTGGACGGTATGGTGTTGATCAAGGAATTTTATATTGCAATTGAACAATGCTCTTTTTCTTTTTCATGGCAGCCAGATCCACTGATGGAGGCGTTGGAGGCTGTAGTTGGTGATCACAATTCCTTAGATGGTCAACTTGAAGCAGCTGAAGCTGATGTCGAGGTTTATATTTTTCGAGTCTTTAAATGGGAACAACTTTATGCTTCTATTACAACATGGTACCCCGGGATTCAACACTTTTAGAGAGACGGATTACCCTAACGTGTTTTTAAATATTATGTTTAATAGTGGGTCGATGTGGAATCGCTTATCAAAGAACTACAACAATTTGATGGCATCGAGTCTGTATCGAAAGGACGCTATTTTTTGAGTCCTGGTTTGGCCCCAATGTTTCAGGTATGTAAACTAATCAAATTGACCAAGCTGAGCGAAAAGAAAAGCCTCATTTTTCCTCAATTTCATTTTTAACCACACATTTCATGGAATTCACTACTTTTATCAACTTTTCAACAGCGTATTTCATCAACTTTTATCAAAATTTGCTAAAAATCTATTTTTTAACTTAAACCAAACAAGGGCAAGAAAAAAATGGCCACTCTCATTAAGCAGGAATGGAAATGATAAAAAGTTTGCTAGCTACTGGTCTATATCGATTTTTTTCCATGCAAATCCTATCACAATGTTATCCTATTGATCAGTTGACAGCAGTGAGCTGAATAATAATAAAACTGAACATGTTTTGCTAGATTCTGGGGCCCGTGGCCTTTTCTTTTAACGTTATTTCATGGCCTTTTGACAGGTTTATATGGCGTCCATGTTTGAGAATCAGTACAAGTTACTTGCTCGAGCTGGAAATAGAGTACAGGAGGTGAAACTTTAGTATCTAACTCAGTTTTTAACAGTTTCCAGCATAATTAAATGCCTAACTTTACTTGAGCACCTATATGCGTCATTTGCACAGGTGATTGTGCAAACGTCATTGGGCAAAGAAGAGTTGAAATCGGCAATTCTGACCTGTACCAATAGAGTGGAATAAACAATGGCAGGTTACTCAAATTTGTTGTTTTTCTGATAAGAATAGGTAAAAATAGTGTATCCGTGACACAGTCTCGAGAAAATCATCTTCAGTCCGACTAAAAACTCGAGACAATTTCAGAAACTTGAACTCATCCCTATATTGAGACGAATACAAGTGTTGGTGCTTAAATGTCTAATTATTTTATAACTCACCTTTTTAATTTATTTCCTGTAATATTTGCTCCGTTATTTATCGTCCTATATATATATATATATATATACTCCAACCAGGTTTTGTAGCTGTTAACTAGTAAATTTTAGCTCTATCATCAAGGTGTGAAAAGTTGCTGTATTTTATTCCAAATTAATTTTATTACTTTGTAAAATTCACTGCTTTCTGTCACCATATACATGTAGAAGGTGGCAATTATTGAATATTTGATGATGGCTTTAAATGGCAGCTATAGATGTACATAAATTTGTAGCTTCAGGGATTCTCTTTTTACTTTATTATATTTTTAGCGTCTTTGGTAATGAAGGCTAAGTCTTACAGAGCCAAGGCATTATGGCCTTTACACTGTTAGTGATAGTGAATAATAATACAACCATTTTCAAAGTTTGAAAACTCGTGGAGAACCATTCTAATGTTGTTATGATTTTCGGATCAACAATCTCAGCAAATTAAAAACATTAACAAGAACACAATGGACACCACATATTTGCCCCTTTAAAGAGCCAAGGAGTTGGACAGGGTCCACGTCTCCTTTTGAGGCTCTACAATTGCAGAATTGCCTCTTGCACGATAATGAAGCATCGATTTTTATGAGAGCGAAAGATTACAAACCAATACCACCGACATAGAGGGGGATGTGGGATATTCATTCAGTGATTAGTGGTTGATTTAGGGGGAGAGATCTAAGCCTCTCGAATGCTTGGAATTGTTACTCTCTTTAGTTTCCATTTCAATGAATAACCAATTAGTACTCTGTTGAATTCTCAATTACAATTTCATTCTCCATACCAACATCAACCTGCAGAATAATTACAACCTATCCACCAGTAGGCAAAGCAGCAAGGGATCCTATCAGATTACAAACCAATACCACCGACATACCCCAAATCGTCACCCTCACGAAACCTTCAAACCAATCAAAGAACTCATAAGAGATACACTCAACCAACTCCCAATCCGAAATCATACATCCTAACCAAGTAATGTACCAATCTGATGGTGGAATCCAAACAACATTACAACCTCACTTACACTATAGTGATCAAATTTTAGTGAGGAGTAGAAGAGGAAAACCACAAGACAATAAAAACTACCTGGATTAAGATAACCTTAAAAGTGCCAATATCAAGTATTAAATAATCCAGGGCTGGGATTGTATCTTGATCCTTCTCAAGCTTTTCTCCCTTTCCAGTATAAGCCGCATTTTCACTCAAATGGACTGAATCATTGTTTGGTCCCACTTGAATCAGTAATTTCCACCTTGAACTAAATGATAAACAATATAGTTTCAAGAGACGGTCACATGAGTTGTAATATGGTCTCATGTACCTACAGTTAGAAACTAAACTTAGTAGCAAGGAAATCACAAAACTAAACTTAAAAGAATTGCTTGAACAAACTACTTATCTCGTGTCAATGTTTAAGATATTTAACATAAACTTATTCAATGGACTCCTTTAGATAAAAGATCTCTAATGAAGTGAGACTCGAACATCAGTGTTTTTAGTCATGACTTGAAAATGTGATTCTTGTTCAATTCGAAGGACGATTAACTATCAGATAATACAACAATATCCCGATTCATTCAATATACTTTAAGATACAATTTTCCTTTATAGCGTCGGTCACTACACATATACAGAATTCTGCAGTGAACAATGCCACTATATGTTGCACCTGAGATTTCCATCCAAAGCATGCATTACACAAAGTAAAAATGTATGATGAGGTTGATTTTTTGTCCTCCCTTTTAATATTATAATTTGAATCAATATTCATTTCAGTGTTATACCTTTAGTACAATGACCAAACACCATACCAACATCAGTTGAAATCTACAATTGAATAATTTTAAGTTTGGTACTAAAGTCCAAGTCTTATTACGATAAAGAAGGGTCATTTCTTCTTTCATTGCAGCCTACAAAAAGCTGGATCGGTCACTCCTAATGGCTTCACCAAATGTTTTGAACTCATTATCCCTAAGTTCTTCACAAATCACAAGTATTATCTACCTATGCAGCAAGTTCATAATCAACGAGTCTAGATGAGATTCTTTTGTGTCTTCTATCCATATCCATGGTCATCCGCTCATGAATAGGGATTCCCTTCACTTCGTATCCTCGAGCACGTAGCTTTTATTTCAGTTGAAGATGATATCTCTATTTATTATAATTTTGAAACTACTTTCACCTTTTGCTCAAATTCTATACCTATAGTTGCAGACACATTTACAATTCTTCCTGAATCTGATAATACGACTTTTTTTTAGTAAATTTTGATAAATAAGCAACTGAAAATTAAATTAAAGCTTTTATTTTTACTTCTGTTTCTTGTTTTACATGGACAAAGCAACTCTCATAAATACTTCCTTTCTGTAAACAATAGTCGGATTGGCTTCGTATCAACACAAATTAACATAAGTAAGACGAGTTCGGGGATTTTTATGTGGAAATTAGGCACTGTACTGTTTCTAAATGAAAAATTCTTTTCAAAACATATTTTTCAATAAAATAATATTACACGGAAATTCAAAATCTTTTTTTTTTAAACTACACATTTTTCATCAATATACTATTTTAAAATACATTATACACCAAAAAAATAGGGCTCAAACATTGGAATTTCCAAAAAACTACACTGACTGTAACCATAGTTATCTTTTTAGAAAAAAAGTTACAATCATTGTAACTTCTCAATAGTTATTGTAGCTCTATGAGAATTTTACAATGTTTGTAAAAAACATTGAGCCCCTGTTTGGCCCCCATTATATTACATTCCATTACATTAATTTTTTCTTTCTCTTAATCTCAATCATACATTCATCTAATAAAATAATAATACACACAAATAAAAAACTTTTCAACCACACATCTCCCATCAATCACTATTCTAAAAATTATTTACCCCCCAAAAATTTAATTTAATGGGGGGCAAACAGGGGCTGAATATTTGAATTTCGAACTATTTTTTCTCTCTCTTGAAGACATGTTAAAAAATTGAATATTTGAGCCCCAAATTTTATACTTTTGTAATTTGTCCTTATGTGATTAAGCATTTTTGGGTGCAAGTAAAAACCTACTCAATCCCATATTAAAGTCAGCTCATTGTGATCAAATAGGATAAATGTCACGTTTCAAGTCTCTTTTGTACAATTCATGTACAACCTAGGCACGTCGATTGAATCAGGCGAGGAATCGATTGAATCAGGCGAGGGATATAAATACCTTGTGAGATTAAGGCTGGACATTATTCAATTCTATCATTGAAATGATAACTAAAGCGAACCATACATCATGTGACGGAAACGACTGTTTGCGCACCAAAATGTTGATGATTTGAGGATGGTTGTGCCAAAAATGGAAGAACAGGTCCTGATTTAACACATATGCATTAGTATGAAGACCATTTCTGAAAATTAGCCTAAAAATCCCTAAAACCCTTTGGCCTTTTCATTTCCACCTTAAACCCTAAAATTACCAATTTCTTTCTCTATTCGACAATGCATTTCTCCTCCGTTCTCCTTCGGAATCGATTAAAGCCCGTACTCAAAACTCTCTGCCACAGCCAAATTTTCCTCCGCCAAATGGGCGGTGGCCCGCGCACCTTCCCGGGCGGTCTCAACAAATGGCAGTGGAAGCGAATGCACGAGAAAAAAGCTCGGGAGAAGGAGAAACGCCTCCTTGAGCAAGAAAAGCAAGTCTACCAGGCCCGAGTACGGTCTGAAATCCGGGCCAAGCTCGCTAGTGCTGAGAAGCCGGGTTCTCAAAAGCCCGATCAAAACCAGCACAATTATGGGCCGTTATCTCCCCAAGACCACATCAAGGCCCTCGCTGATCGGTTCATGAAGGAGGGCGCTGAAGATTTGTGGAATGAATGTGATGGCCCTGTTAAGACTCCGGTGCCTAAGCCGCCGAAAAGCCAGGTTTTTGGTGAGCCTATTAACTTGCAGAAACTGATTTTGGAGAAATCGCGTACAAGTGTTAAGAAAGAGAATGGTTTGGGCGAACTTTCGGGGAATTTTAGTGGATTCTCTAAATCAAGGAATTTTTCTACTCATACCGTGTGGGGTAGTAATTTTATGGGGAATCGCTGGAATGAGTATTCAAGAAAAATGCATTCTAGAATTGGTTTATTGGATTATAGTTATAGAAGTGGGATTTTATTGAGTACAAATAATTTAATAAATTTGAGGCATTATTATTCTGTGGATGTGGGTACTACAATGAGAAGTAAAAGGTTGAATTTTACAAGTAATAACAGTTTAACAAGCAAAGACGGTGCAGTTTCGAAAGAAGGGTCCTCTGGTGGGAGGAGAGTGAGATGGCCGAGGTTTCGTGGTAATAAAATGGAATCATCGGATGATGACGACACCGATGATTATGATGATGAGGAGGAGGAAATGGAAAGTAGAGGTAGAAGGATTGTTGGTAGCAGTGCAGCATTGGGAAAATACGACATGAAGACCAAGAAGCGAGTACCTTTGAAGTTTCTGGAAGAAGAGAATGATTTATCTCAGCAAGTTGATGCAATCAGGGAGCAGTTCAGCAAGAGGAGTTTAGAGGAAGATGGAGGAGAAAAGGACGAAGAGGAATCCCTTCTTAGTTCAAAAAGGTATGTCGGATTTTATATTTGAAAATGGTATTTTTCTGTATTAGAGGTTTTTAGTATCTTATTTTTGTTGGACTTTTTTGCTAATAATGTGCTGTGGATTATGCTTATTCAGGTTTGATGAGTGTGATATATCTTCTTTGTCCATCCGAGCACTTGCTGAGGCAGGCTATTTGCAAATGACCAGGGTCCAAGATGCTACACTTTCTGCTTGCCTCGAGGGTGTGTAGTAAATTTTATGGACATCTTTTCTATATAACATTGACTCAGTGAACATATTGTTTAGTTTCTGGATTAGTTGGTTAGAACATGTTCATTTTAGCCACCCTTTCAGTGGAGTTGAAGTTGATCACCATAAAGCACATAACTAAAAGATTTTTATTCAATTTTTTTTCCTTATTTTTGAATGGAAGATCTGCAAAAGTTTAAACTCTTCGTAAACATGGTCTGCTTCGTTTGGTCTGCAGCACCAAACACAACTAGTTTTAGAAATAATGAGACTAAAGTTTTCATGTATGTAATATCTATGAATCTTAGATCTTGCGTATAATTTAAGCTCATTTTTGACTCCCGTTAAAACAAAACAATTTATTTCTCATGCTCATTTTCAACCACACATTCAAACAATAAAATATTTTACATGTAAATCCAAAACTTTTTCTCATTTTTTAACTACACAATCTCCAAAAAAATCATTATTCAAAACATCATTTTCACACAATAATGGCCATCAAACAGGGGCTTAAATGATTTTTGGTTTGTCTTCTTGGCAGCCAGTTAATATGTTCACAGCCATTAGTAATTTTAAATATTGATACTGTTATTAAGAGAGGAATAGACGATATTCTATTTATTTGTTGAAACTTTATGTGAAAATATGTACAATTTGAGGTTTTTGTTGGTTCTATCCTAGATGATTTATCCAGGTTTGTCATGATTTTCCCTCCTTGTATAGAAGTTCCCACATATTCTCAAAATTCTTCAGCAGTTCAACTGAATAAATGAAAATTTTATTTTTCTCTCAGTTCTTCCACATTGTCCTCGGAAACGAACAGGACTTACATTGAAATTGTGTTGTGCAAGAATAGCATTTTGGGTTTGTGGGATTTATTGTATCCTGCCACTGTTGGAATCCAATAGACCCTGCTATTTAATCAAACTTACAGGTCGATAGGGCGCAGGGCGTGAAACCTCATGAATCATTTTTGCCTTATACACACTTTTTTGGCATTTCTTATAATCCTTGGAATAGTTTTCAAGAATCTATATTTTCACTTTCTTTCTTTTCGTTCTTAGAATTTGGTTTCCCTTTTACTTTTTTGTTGCACTCACAATCTCTTACTCTGAACAGGTAAGGATGCTTTAGTCAAAGCCAGAACTGGCACGGGCAAAAGTGTTGCTTTTCTGGTATATCACAAATCTTATGTTTCTCATACTTCTATTATCATCATCCTGCACCCTGTTTGTTTTTTCCATCACTGCTGCTAAACATAAACAGCTTCCTGCTATTGAAACAGTTCTGAAGGCATCACGTAGTAAAATAGATCAGCGGGTCCCACGATCCCCACCTGTATATGTTCTTATTATCTGTCCCACAAGAGAACTTGCAAGTCAAATTGCAGCAGAAGCAAATGTTCTCCTGAAGTACCATGAAGGAATTGGTGTGCAAACCCTAGTTGGAGGAACACGATTTAAAGTTGATCAAAAACACCTAGAATCAGATCCATGTCAGGTATGCCTAAATGTTTAGCATAATTGACAACTTTGTAATTCAGACCTGTTTCTATATTTTTCGCTGTTGGCAATGGTTACTATTATCTTTTAACTTTTGGGTGTGATTTTTGCAGATTATTGTTGCAACTCCTGGTAGATTGTTGGATCACGTTGAAAACAAGTCTGGCTTGTCTGTGCGGTTGATGGGACTGAAGATGCTTATACTCGATGAGGCAGATCACTTGCTAGACCTTGGATTCCGAAAGGATATGGAGAAAATTGTTGATTGTTTGCCACGCCGGAGGCAGTCTTTACTCTTTTCTGCTACAATCCCGAAGGAGGTTCAAACTAATTCCTTGTTACTTATTGTTCTGCTGAATGATACTAATGATGAATAAGAGAACTTGTTAAGCTCTTTGGTTTGAATGTCAATATTGTCAATTTTCAGGTCCGTCGAATATCTCAACTTGTTCTGAAAAGGGAACATGCCTACATTAATACAGTGGGCATTGGTTGTTTGGAAACTCATTCTAAGGTACGTTTTAATTATTTTATGACTGTCAAATTTTATTTGGGACGAAGTGTTAACTTCCTACTCTCTATATGAAAAACTGAGGCTGCTAAGATCAAGAATTCATGTTTACGTTACTTTCTCTAAGTGATATACTGATTGGCGATTAGTAGATGCTCATTTTTACTTGTCAAGCAGGTTAAGCAATTATTTTATGTGGCGCCACATGAACAGCATTTTCAAATAGTACACCATCTTATAAGGAGCCATATATCTCAAGTACTTGGTTACAAGGTAGGCTGCTTTAGCTTTTTGTGTTATATAAGTGGTTCTAAAATTCTCTACTGGTTTATTTTCCCTTATTATTGATTATTGTTTGGCTTCCTCCCAGGTTATTGTTTTCTGCACAACAGCAATGATGACATCCCTCATGTTTTCCCTTTTGCGGGAGATGAAATTGAATGTCAGAGAGATTCATTCCAAAAAGCCTCAATCCTATCGTACTAGAATATCTGATGAATTCAAGGAATCAAAAGAATTGATTCTGATAACATCTGATGTTTCAGCTCGAGGGATGAATTATCCTGATGTTACTCTGGTTATTCAGGTAAAGGAATTAAATTTATAGATTAGCTTTTGGAACTTGCTTTCATATAGGAAACATATTTATTTAACAAACATGTAGCCTAAATTGAGAAAGCTAGCATCCTATATGACAAGAATGGTGCAGATTTTACTTGTTCTCCCTTCCTTTCCTCCTCGATGTGTATGCAGTATATATATAATTTTTTTTTTGGTTCAGGAGTACTTGTGAAATCTAATAGAGATCACATTTCTTATTTGATCCGAGATGCACCTTTTTCACTGTTTACCCTCAGATGTTTTCAGTAGTTGTATTTGTGGATGTGTTGCAATATTGGTATTTCTTTTTAACACTTTGGCTATGCGTGTGAAGCCAACTGTGAATTATATTTTCAAGTGCACAAGATATATTTTTGGGGGAGAAAAAGAAGTATCTTCTCTTGATTGATCTTTACACATTTCGTTTTGGGTCTATGATATGTAGATGATTGGTGGGCTTTTTGGTTGTGTCGGATTTACCATGTTATTTGATTGAAGGTTAAGATTTTGTGGCTACATTTACACTATGTTGCACGGACATGGACACACTTGTTGGACATGTTAATTTAAATACTTTAAAATTGTCGATTTATATATTCTATCTTTATGTTTATACTTTTCATCTTTTAATAAAATTAATTGTTTTCTTAGTTTTGATTTTTGTTCATGAAATCTTATAAATTGGGTTAGTAGCTATATGTTATATTAAAATAACTTTTAATTAAACTAGATATTCACCTTTTTGGGCTCCATTTTTTTAAAAAAATGCATTTTTCTCTTTCTTATTTTCATCCACAGCCACAGATTATCCAATAAAATAATATTATTCGTAAATCTAATATTTTTTCTTATTTTTTAATTACATATTCTCCAAAAATCACTATTTCAAAATACATTTTTCCCCAAAATTTTTAATGGGGCTGAAACAGGGGCTACACTGTTAGGAAGGAAAAGTACATATAGTATATGTCATGGAGTGTTCTGAAGTATTGGTAACATAAACGACATGGCATTGTGTTGGACACGGACTTGCTACAACAATAGTATTGTTTGTGCTTCATAGTGTTTATAGAGTCATTGCGGTCCACTCTGGTGCTTCGTCAATGCAACTTCTACTCTGTACAAGAGTCATAAGAAATCAAATATTACAACACACCTATATTTCCTATCCTCAATGACGTCATTGAATCCTTGACTGTAATTCCCACATGCTATTTGAACGCACAATATGCTTCATATTCTTTATAAATATTTAGTGTGTATACCCAACAACCAATTCTTAAGGTCTTTTCGTATCAGGTGGGTGTACCCTCAGATCGAGAACAATATATTCATCGTCTTGGAAGAACAGGGCGGCAGGGGAAAGAAGGCGAAGGAATTCTATTGCTTGCACCCTGGGAACAATTTTTCATGGATGATATTAAGGACCTTCCCATTGAGAAATGCGCTTCGCCACATTTGGATCCTGATGCAATAGTAAAGGTCCACAATCTCTCTTCTGCTTTAGATAGATTTTTATTTTTTCCTCCTAAAACCAGCTGATTATTATGCATGTTTGGATGGGCTTAGAGCATGTTTGGGGTGGCTTATATTTAAGATAAGCAACAAATGTGTATCTTGTTTATATGGACCCACCCAGGGGCATAGGTAAGGGTAGCTCAGTCTGCCACAAGCCCATTTGAATTTTATAGGTGAAAAAAATAATTTTTGGGATTTTTTTCTTCTTTTATGTATCAGCCCAATACAATTTATTTATTTATATTTTGGCCCCGTCCCTGGACCCACTTACATTCAAAATAAATGAAAATAAGCCCATACATTAGGAGCTTATATCTAAGATGCCACCCCCAGCATGCTTTTAAGAATTAGCCCCATTTTGTGGCCAAAATTGTGCCAAGTCAGTCGTTTTGGACCCAGAGCTTAAAAGATAGAATAAGCTACGTAGGTGGAGTTATTTTCACCTCAAAAATCGTGAGACCCACAGCTTAAAACCTGTTGGCTTGCTAAGCATGCTTAGACCCCCTGGGTTCAAATTCCACCCAACACTCTCCCTTGGAAAAGAAAGGAAGAAATAAGATATGATGTAAACATTTACTTGTTTTTGGTTCGTTGTGATGTGGTGATTAGAATTATTTGTCATTTGCAGATGGAAGATTCAATGAAAAAGATTGATTCTAGTGTTAAGGAAGCAGCTTATCATGCTTGGCTCGGTTATTATAACTCGATTAATGAAATTGGCAGAGACAAAACCTCACTTGTTGAGTTAGCCAACCAGTTTTCGCAATCTATTTGTTTAGAAAAGCCACCTGCACTCTTCCGAAAGACAGCGTTAAAGATGGGATTGAAAAATATTCCTGGCATTCGAATACGGAAGTAGCACCATCTGTTTGGTTCTTCAATGGTCAACATAACGACGATGACTGTGTATATATATGCCCTAGGAAGAAATGGCAATTCTTAGTGTTAATTTTCAATCTAGTTGCAGCATTTCGTTTTTCACCCATGACGTTTTGTTTGTATGTGATTTACCTTGACTCTCAATAGTATAATCAAGATCCCTGATTAAGCATATTGCAAACTAAGCATGCATGGAATTTTTGTACCTTGCAGACTTTGTGGCATTTTTAGTTTGAAACCATATTGATTTTGTACAAACTGTCACTACTTTTGTTATAGTCAATATTCATTGTTGGAGGTGTCAAAATGTATTGCCTCATCCAGGCATGCTTCAGGTCCTGACCATGCTGTGGTTTGTTTCGTGGCCTAGTAGGTATGGTGGCATAGTATTGACTCGACACATTTCACATCTCTCTTGAGTCTAGTGCACGTGCATGACTTAGGGTTATCAGGCGCTAGTAACAAATACAGTACGAGCATATGTGCATTGATCAAGATGATTGTTATTATTAAATCATGATGTTGATGAGGATAATTCCTTGAGAGGAGCTAGGGAACTCAAGAAACAGTGGAGCAGCAATATAAGAGTCTTTTTTGAAGTCCGAGAGAAGGAAAATCTTCCGGCTACCAAGGAATAAGAAGAGAGACGGAGAAATGTTAAGGATTGTTGAGGAGTAGATACACCGTACATGACCTTGTATTCGAAATATCAACTGACAAGAAGTCATTATATGTAAATTAGAGCGTCTATTTTTCTCTCTTGAACCTGATCAAATTTCTCCGATGATGATAGCAAGTCAACATCACTCATTGTCAATTTTAGCCCCGTTTGGCCCCTATTTAATTATAGCGGGACACAATAATTAATATACTAGCAAATATTGACATGTCCTAGTTAAAAAATAATTAATTTTTCTTGAAATGATTAATTCTGGTCAAATGAAATGAAGAGCAAGTTGAAATTATTTTGGAGTCTATTCAAATGAAATTACAAGACAATAATGCACCATATTCGAAAGAAAAAAAAGAGGTTTACGTCTTTTTCATGATTTTTTAAATATTTATATATATATTTTTGGCTTTTCATAGCACGCAATGTCAATTAAAGATCGTATCATATTCAAAATCATCGAGTTCGACATTGAATGACAAAAAGGTGTTCAAATATTTGTTGAACAGAAAATATTTTGCTAAATGATCAACATGTTGACATTTTTAAAGTAAAAAATGACATGTTTTATTAATAAAATGCAATAAAATTTATATATTTTAAATCAACAATTTTATTTATTTATTTATTTTAAAGGAGGAATGTTCTCTTATTGTTTTTCCAAAACATCATTATTGCATTAGAGTCGAGCTTAGAGCCAAGATCTTGGACCATGGTCTCATTTAATATCATTCATGGCTAGGTGATTTAGCCTGTTCAAATTTCATTTTTTTTATCGAGTCTTTGCAGTGTTGTATTGAACGTAATTAAATAAAATAACTCTTAAATGATATCGTATATCTCTCTTTGTTAATTTATATAATCCGATTTAGTGTGGTACACAAACATATTTTCACAATTTGGCTACGTTTTGAATAAGTTGGTAAAAGTAAGGGTTCGTTTGATTCTCATTATTGTAGAATGAGAATGAAAAATATAGTTGTTATTGGGCCCCACACTAGAGATAAAAATTCAAAATTGATGACCCTACTCAAAATTCTTGATTTATGGCCCGTTTGATTCTTATTATTGTAGAATGAGAATGAAAAATATAGTCGTTATTGGGCCCCACACAAGAGATAGAAATTCAAAATTGATGGCTTGATGTGATGGATAACGATCATATTTTTCATTTTTATGGATGAAAAATGAGAATCAAACGGGCCCTAAATCTCTCGTGGGATTGGGTTTGAATATGTAAACAGAATTTATTCTGTTTGCAGAAGTTACTAGTATTTATTAATATGTTGAGCGCATGCTTAATAATTTAAAATATCTTTTATTTTTTAAAGATTAATTAATTAATTAAGTTCAATCCGATTGTTTTTTAATACATATGAAAGGTCAAAGGAAATGACAACAATCTTGAATTATAAGACAAGTAGACAATATGGCATCATATTTTGGTGAAAATTAGGATCATCATAATTCATAAATCATATCCTACATTATTTAACAAGTCGACGAAAAAAAGTAAACCACTTTGATATTACTATCGAACCACTCTTAAAATTGACTAATAAGAGCTTGTCTAATTGTAAACCCATAAATTAAGTTTTAGTCTAGCGGTGGGAGATACAATTAGAGTCATTACATTCCATCTTTCTTTTTGGAATTGATGTCCATTACGACTTGTATTTCCAATAAAGAGGGTGTCTGGTGGAAATTAAAATTAGATTTTTAGTGGATTGTGATAGAAGTTTTTGAAACGTGTAGTTGAAAAGATGTGGGACCCATGAAAGATGTGATTAATATTGATTGTTTCACTTTGATTTTAATTAAAATCATATTTTAATCAGGTCCAAACAGGCCCTAAGTGACTTCATAAAACCAGTATTACGTTGAAAGTAGCCATCCCCATGTGCCTAGTCCACAACAAAGATCATCCCATTTTCGATTGTATCATTAACATTAATCAAAACCACCGTTAAAACTGACTTGTTAAGGAAAATGTATCCAATCGCATATAAAATAAAAACCTATGAATTAGGCCTTAGCCTATTAATGTGGAATACAATTAGTTTAATCTGAATTGACCAATTTAAACCTTATAATCGTGTGAAACACTTGCTGGTCTTAACAAACAATTACTAAAAGTAATTATCAGATTCAAATGTGAAAAAAAAAATTAAAAAAATATGACTAGTCACCTACAACCACGCAAGGTTTGAAATGGTAGGGAGAGAGTTAAGGAAGAACCTCCAATATAAATATTCTGATATTTTTGTTGAAGTTTGTTGCAGTTTAAGCCCTCATCCTATTTTCCACAT